GAGTGAGTGGGTGGATGAGTGGGTGGATGAGTGAGTGGGTGGATGAGGAGTGGTGGATGAGTGAATGAATGGATGAGTGGGTGGTTGGATGAGTGGGTGGGTGGATGAGTGGCTGGGTGGATGAGTGGGTGGATGAGTGAGTGGGTGGGTGGATGATGTGAATGAATGGATGAGTGGGTGGTTGGATGATGTGGGTGTGTGTATGAGTGGGTGGAGGGTGGATGAGTGGGTGGGTGGAGAGTGAGTAGGGTGGGTGGATGATACGTGAGTTGGGTGGGATGAGTGGTGGGTGGATGAGTGGAGTGGTGGATGAGTGAGTGGGGTGGGGATGAGGAGTGGGTGTATGAGTTGGTGGTGGATGAGTGAGTGGGTGGATGAGTGGGTGGATGAGTGAGGTGGGTGGATGTGATGTGAGTGGGTGTATGAGTGGGTGGGTGGATGAGTGAGTGGTGGGTGGATGAGTGGGAGGATGAGTGGGTGGGTGGATGAGTTGGGTGGTATGAGTGAGTGGTGTGGATGAGTGAGTGGGTGTATGAGGGGTGGGTGGATGACGTGGGGTGGATTGAGTGAGGTGGGTGTACTAAGTGAGTGGGTGTATGAGTGGGTGGGGGATGAGTGAGTGGGTGGATGGAGTGGGTGGATGAGGTGAGTGGGTGGATGAGGATGAGTGATGGTGTATGAGTGGGTGGGTGGATGGTGAGGGGGTGGGTGGATGAGTGGACGTGGGTGGATGAGGGGTGGGGGGGTGGATGAGTGAGTGGGTGGATGAGTGAGTGGGTGTATGAGTGGGTGGGTGGATGAGTGAGTGGGTGGATGAGTGGGTGGATGAGTGAGTGGGTGGATGAGTGAGTGGGTGTATGAGTGGGTGGGTGGATGAGTGAGTGGGTGGGTGGATGAGTGAGTGGGAGATGAGTGGGTGGGTGGATGAGTGGGTGGATGAGTGAGTGGGTGGATGAGTGAGTGGGGTGTATGAGTGGGTGGGTGGATGAGTGGGTGGATGAGTGAGTGGGTGTATAAGTGAGTGGGTGTATGAGTGGGTGGGTGGATGAGTGAGTGGGTGGATGAGTGGGTGGATGAGTGAGTGGGTGGATGAGTGAGTGGGTGTATGAGTGGGTGGGTGGATGAGTGAGTGGGTGGGTGGATGAGTGAGTGGGAGGATGAGTGGGTGGGTGGATGAGTGGGTGGATGAGTGAGTGGGTGGATGAGTGAGTGGGTGTATGAGTGGGTGGGTGGATGAGTGGGTGGATGAGTGAGTGGGTGTATAAGTGAGTGGGTGTATGAGTGGGTGGGTGGATGAGTGAGTGGGAGGATGAGTGGGTGGGTGGATGAGTGGGTGGATGAGTGAGTGGGTGGATGAGTGAGTGGGTGGATGAGTGGGTGGGTGGATGAGTGAGTGGGTGGGTGGATGAGTGAGTGGGAGGATGAGTGGGTGGGTGGATGAGTGGGTGGATGATGTGAGTGGGTGGATGAGGTGAGTGGGGTGTATGAGTGGGTGGGTGGATGAGTGGGTGGATGAGTGAGTGGGTGGATGGAGTGAGTGGGTGTATGAGGGGTGGGTGGATGAAGTGGGTGGATGAGTGAGTGGGTGTATAAGTGAGTGGGTGTATGAGTGGGTGGGTGGATGAGTGAGTGGGAGGATGAGTGGGTGGGTGGATGAGTGGGTGGATGAGTGAGTGGGTGGATGAGTGAGTGGGTGTATGAGTGGGTGGGTGGATGAGTGAGTGGTGGGTGGATGAGTGAGTGGGAGGATAAGTGGGTGGGTGGATGAGTGGGTGGATGGAGTGAGTGGTGGATGATGTGAGTGGGTGTATGAGTGGGTGGGTGGATGAGGGGTGGAGAGTGAGTGGGTGTATAAGTGAGTGGGTGTATGAGTGGGTGGGTGGATGAGTGAGTGGGAGGATGAGTGGGTGGGTGGATGAGTGGGTGGATGAGTGAGTGGGTGGATGAGTGAGTGGGTGTATGAGTGGGTGGGTGGAATGAGTGGGTGGATGAGTGAGTGGGTGTATAAGTGAGTGGGTGTATGAGTGGGTGGTGGATGAGTGAGTGGGAGGATGAAGTGGGTGGGTGGATGAGTGGGGGATGAGTGAGTGGGTGGATGAGTGAGTGGGTGTATGAGTGGGTGGGTGGATGAGTGAGTGGGTGGGTGGATGAGTGAGTGGGAGGATGAGTGGGTGGGTGGATGAGTGGGTGGATGAGTGAGTGGGTGGATGAGTGAGTGGGTTGTATGAGTGGGTGGGTGGATGAGTGGGTGGCTGAGTGAGTGGGTGTATAAGTGAGTGGGTGTATGAGTGGGTGGGTGGATGAGTGAGTGGGAGGATGTGGGTGGGTGGAGAGTGGGTGGATGAGTGAGTGGGTGGATGAGTGAGTGGGTGGATGAGTGGGTGGGTGGATGGATGGTGAGTGGGTGGGTGGATGAGTGAGTGGGGGGATGAGTGGGTGGGGGGATGAGTGGGTGGATGAGTGAGTGGGTGGATGAGTGAGTGGGTGTATGAGTGGGTGGGTGGATGAGTGGGTGGATGAGTGAGTGGGTGTATAAGTGAGTGGGTGTATGAGTGGGTGGGTGGATGAGTGAGTGGGAGGATGAGTGGGTGGGTGTATGAGTGGGTGGGTGGATGAGTGGGTGGATGAGTGTGTGGGGTGTATAAGTGAGTGGGTGTATGAGTGGGTGGGTGGATGAGTGGGGAGGATGAGTGGGTGGGTGGATGAGTGGGTGGATGAGTGAGGGGTGGATGAGTGAGGGGTGTATGAGTGGTGGGTGGATGCTAGTGGTGGGTGGTATATCAGTGAGTGGTTGGATGAGTAGTGGGGTGTATGCGTGGGTGGGTGGAGGATGAGTGGGTGGGTGGATGAGTGAGTGGGAGATGAGTGGGTGGGGGATGAGTGAGTGGGTGGATGAGTGAGGGGTGTAGGAGTGGGTGGTGATGAGTGGGGTGGATGAGTGAGTGGGTGTATAGTGAGTGGGTGTATTGAGTGGGTGGGTGGATGAGTGAGTGGGAGTATGAGTGGGTGGGTGGATGAGTGGGTGGATGAGTGAGTGGGTGGATGAGTGAGTGGGTGTATGAGTGGGTGGGTGGATGAGTGAGTGGAGGATGAGTGGGTGGGTGGATGAGTGGGTGGATGAGTGAGTGGGTGGATGAGTGAGGGGTGTATGAGTGGGTGGGTGATGAGTGAGTGGGTGGGTGGATGAGTGAGTGGGAGAGTGAGTGGGTGGGTGGATGAGTGAGGGTGGTGATGAGTGAGTGGGGTGTATGAGTGGGTGGGTGGATGAGTGGGTGGATGAGTGAGTGGTGTATAAGTGAGTGGGTGTATGAGTGGGTGGGTGGATGAGTGAGTGGGTGGATGAGTGGGTGGATGAGTGAGTGGGTGGATGAGTGGGTGGGTGGGTGGATGACCTCACTGCACACTCTCCCCTCTGGGCGTCTGGCTATCCATCATCTCTCGCTTTGTGCTCTTCCGTAAGTTGAGGCTCCTCCTCTCTGCCCTGACCTCTTCTCACTCCTCGCTCTCCTGTCCCCCATCGCTCCATCGGAGATCTTTGGCGGGTCTTTTCTCCTTCCCAAGTGACGGTGGCCTTGCAGGGCGCAAACCTGTAACGTCACAACGGTCACCGCCGTCAGCCTCGCCTCCAACACCGTCACCAACGCCATCAGCGTCACCAACGCCATCGCCTCCAACACCGTCACCAACGCCATCAGCGTCACCAACGCCATCAGCGTCACCAACGCCATCAGCGTCACCAACGCCATCGCCTCCAACACCGTCACCAACGCCATCAGCGTCACCAACGCCATCGCCTCCAACACCGTCACCAACGCCATCAGCGTCACCAACGCCATCAGCGTCACCAACGCCATCAGCGTCACCAACGCCATCAGCGTCACCAACGCCATCGCCTCCAACACCGTCACCTCCGTCAGCACCACTAACAACAAGCGCCATTCGCCACTGAGTGGCGGTGACGTCGCCACGG